ATGAAGAAGAGGGTGAGCTGTGGGAATGCCCTAAATTAAAATTAATTAAGAATTACAGTTGCATTCCCATAGAAAGTATAGATAAAACCGTTCATATTGTTCCAAGAAATGATAAGACAAATGAGTATTTAATGAACATTTACATGTTCTAATAAATTTTTAAACATCTGTGCTACAATGCAATATATAGAAGCATATCGATATGCATCGGATAACTTTATTTTCGATATAAATCAATAAATCGCATGGTAACATGGAAAATCATATCGCTATATATCGGTAAAAGATAAATATCGTTAAAGAGCGTAAATATCGATAACAATCGAAAACATAATAAATCGTTATATATTAAAATATCGATAAGTAATACTAAATTTATGTTTTGAAAATAAACGGTTACACACAAATATGAAACATAACGGGATTATATTTATCGTATTGTATCGGATATCTGATATGAATCGATTTATAACAAAAGTAAAATATTTGATATATATCGATATTTAACAAATATCGCTAAATATCGATATAAATAGATAATACAACTATCGATATATATCTATTACACGATTAATATCGATATAAATAAAATCGATATATATCGATGATTAGATATTTATCGATATATACCTATTACCGGTATATATCGATTTTTGGTAATTTATCATTATATATTCTAAATTATCGATAAATACCATTTTTATCTTATCGATATATTTTGATTTTTTGCTATATATCGATATATATCTATATAAAAAATTTTCTGATGAAGTCGCGAAAGCATTTAAGAGTATATATAATAATCCTGACAATCCTCTTAACTGGGCTCGGCTATTGCAATGTGACCAAGGTCATGAGTTCATGGGAAGCGTGACATTGATAATAAATGAACACAATGTTAATATCCGAAGAATTAAAGCATGTTTCAGGCATACAAGCTTGGCTATAGTTGATCGTTATGCCGGATCATTCAAATTAAGGGTTTTTAAAAACCAGTATGCAATAGAGTTTCTCTTACCTACCGGCGAATGCTGTAAAGAATGTGAATGATTTGCAAGAAGAATTGTTGATAACATGAATGATACTACTACTCGGTTAATTGGAATAAGTCTCAATGAGGCCACAAAACTTGAGCGAATATATTCCAAACCATCGATAAAATATAATCACCCGATAGGTGTTGATGAACCATAACTATCAAAGGGTACTACTATCCGATTTTTGCTTGCTCCTGGAGAATGGGAAAATGATTCTTTTGAATGACATAGAATAACAGATCCAATATGGTCTCCTAGCCTGCATAAGATCCAGAGAATTGTTGTTGAAAAGAATCTTTCTATGTCTGTTTTATATTACTTGGATGAGTCAGGGCCTCGATGTCTCTTTGTAAGGGAACAATTAATGCATATTAAGGAAGAGCCTATGTTACCTCCTAGGTGGGTACTGGGAGATAACCAAAAGCATATACTGTAAGGCACTCCTTATAAAAGTTTCTAAGTCAATGACGCAATAGGGTATTGTAATAAGGATTTCTCCTTCTCTATAACATAATGCTCTTTTTTCCTAATTATGCCAAATTTGTGCATCTAGATTCATCTGCCCTTTAGGGTGAAAAAAAAGGATGATTTGATAATGTTGATTACTACTATATTCGAAAGCCAAGCCTAGCTCTTCATTGTATCCATCTAGATGTAATCCCTCCAAGAATTAGGTTTTCTGGGTGAGAACTTTTTATTTAATAAATCCTCAAATATATATCAGCATGTTCTCTCCGGTATATTGGGACAAATGTTGCACCATCTATAATTCTGTTTCATATTTTTATAGAGCGCCTCCCATTGATGACCCTTTTTGCATGCCTATAAATATATGTTAGAACTAACTTTTGCTAAGCACTTGCCTTTACACTTTTGGGCATATGCCAAAGCTTTAGTGTCTATTCCGTCTTGCATTTTTTAGGTACAATAGAATATTACGTACAGAAATTTGTGAAATAGGCTGTTTTTTTCGCAAGCTCAAAAAAACATATTTTTAAAATTGCTTTTCTCCAAATTATTTTTTTTCGAATGAAATGAGAAAAAAAGGGAAAAATGCCAAATTTAACTCGGCTACTACTCTCAATGCTCCTTTGCTCAAGTATATATCCTTTATTTTTTCCAACTCTGATATATCAAAATACCTAGAATGTTTATTGTAAAGTTTTTATATATTTTTTAAGCCATTTTTTTGTCTCGTTCTGGGAATAGACATCAATCTGCTTCTCTTTTTCATCCAAATCTTTAAGTTGTATAATCTTATGCGAAGAGGGTGGTTGATATCTATCATCATCATTGATGAAGCGTGCACATAATCCAACTGTTTTTTCTATATAATAATTGATATCTATCTCCATATTAAATTCTTTTGCAATATCTGGAAACTCCATATAGTTAGCATTTCTACACGGTATTAACCGACCATTTTTATCACGATATCATTCACCTTTCACAACCACATAACTAAAGCGCTCACCTAAATCAGGAATCTTGTTTTTATAATTTTCTTTCATCCATTTTATAAAGTGCTGAACACATTTATTATCTTTATTAGGCTTCTATATAGCTATTGCAACAAATTGATTAAAATCCCATTGCTTTTCACTAGCTTCTCTAAGAGTATCTTTGATGATTTGATAGATTGTATATATATTATCGATATTCATTGCCTCCCTCATGATTTTCTCTCCAACAAATCTGAAAAGCTTTGTTTGACCTTGTTTTACAGTATCAATACCTTTAGTAAATAGCTTTTTTGGCTTGAAATTTACTATTTTCTCATGTACAACTCCAAAGTATTTCTTTTTACCGGTAAAACATACAGGAAACAATACTTTCTCATATGCTATCTTTAGATAAGAGGTACCATTTTTTATTCTAAGATAAGCATTTACTTTGTTACAAAATTCATCCATCACCTTCATAGTAATTTTTATTATTTCACTCCAATATGTCTCTTTGGAAAGCTTGTTTTCATTATAATCTCTATTGTATTTTTCATAATACTTATCTGGGCAGGTAAGATATAAAGAGTCAGTATCACCATACTTAATCCCAAAGCCTTTCACTATAATGAATCTAGCAACAAGACCAATATTGTATTGTCCTGCTGAAGTAATTTCTCTAGCTAATTCACGAAGAAAGAATGGAGAGTTACTATTATCCACCTCACTATAAAATGTATTCATATACATCTTCAGAGCGAATTGTTTTGAGTTTAAGCAATTATAATCAAAGCATAGGGAATCATGTTTTGATTTTAAAGCATTCGGTACAATTTTACCCTTCTCTTCTATGGTACTTATAAGCTTTTCAAGACGCTCCTTCTCTTTACATAGTAGGGCGAACTTTGATTTAAGATCTACTCATTTATTAAACAGATTCTCTAGAACGATAGGATATAATTCTTTTTTCTCAGAACAATTGCCATAACGGACAGCCCAGATATAAAGAATATGCCTATTAAATGGAAATTTAATCTCATATAGTTTATTTCCTCTTCCACATATATTATTAGCCTCTTCACAGTTTAATATTAATTTTTCAGATAAAAGATTGTAAGCCATGATAAGGCTGGGATATAATAAGGTGAAATCAAGACCTGTAATGGGATGCTTATTCTCAATACCTTTTATTGGAGGAAAAACATATGCTCCTGGATACTTACTCTTTTCTTTATCTTTGTAGCAAATTGTACTAAATAACATATTGCGTTTGGTGGCATAAGCAACCAGAAGATTCCTTACTTTCATTCCATTTGCACAATAATGTGTATCAAATAAAGATACATAAGCTATAGAGGCAACTTCTCTATAATCATTAATTACATTGCGTTTGACTACGAGTTCTTGGCAATGCAACGCATCTATAATACAATAGTTTGCTACTTCATGCATATTTCTAGCAGTTATATTAGAAGAGCGTTCCTTTACCTCAGAATAGTAGTTCTATAATCTGTTAAAAGGCATATCGGTCTTACTCTTGAGCCCACATAATTTTAAGTAGAACTTAAGTGAACTTTCTTTTTCTACTTCTGAGCGAGGGTAAAGTCTCTTAAAACATGCATGAACATCGATTGGTACGCATCCAGGTATTTTAAGAAAGGAAGATTTAAAGGTATCTTCTGGGCTAACTTTGATGAAAATAGAATCTCTTCTAAATTCTTCTTCTACGTACTCTTCTGTATTTTCTTCTGTATTCTCTTTCATGGAAGAGTACTCATTTGGAGTAGTTATTTTTTCTAATTTTCCATAGTAATTCCATTGTATAATACCTTCAGAAGTTTCCTGGCGAATTCTTCCTGACATTTGTTTCCACATCCATTCAATGAGATGTAACCTATTAGCTTTTTCCATAATGAAAGGCCAATCATATTGCGAATTATTAAATCCAAGTTGGATGTCTAGAGCAAATGCCCGCCAGCAAAGTGCAAATGCTTTTAGCAAATTAGGTTGCGATCCATATATAATTGTAATCCAGCACGGATCTGGTGCCATTTCAACATCGACAAGACAGATCTGTTTTAAAGGTTTCGGATCATCTTTCCAATACAAAGTTATGCTAATCATGATCATGCTATCTTCCTCATTAATCGCTTCAGGAAATTCACCCAATCCACGTGAACTATAGGTTTCTATATCCCATGTAAGAACAAGTGTACGATCTCTTATAAGTGCTGAAATTGAAAAGTGATCTTTAAATGATGCCAGGTCTTCTATAGGGTGGAAATTCTCTATAGATACTCGGAAAGCATATGCACAGAGTGAGTTTTTCTTTTCTCCAATTTCGCATATATAATTACTTATTGTAGACTATCCTGATAGTGAAATTCCATATTCACAAGCCACCTTGCGATAGTATATAAATTGATTATCTGACGCTGTTACGTACTTTTTCTTTTGAATAGCTTTTATTGCAATCTTTCTTTGCTTAGTGTTAGTTGTGTAAATACGCAAATATGACTTTTTATTGGGATGATAACCACGAAATGGATATGCCTTTATATGTTCTATTTAACCATTTTATTTTACCAGAGAGAATGGCCCTTATTTTTGTTTTAAACAAATTGGGAGACTCATCTTCTGGTACAAGAATATCAAAAAAGACTTGAATTCCCGTTATTGAAACAACTGCTTTCTGACTATTGATAAGAGGGCTATAGAGACGCAATACATACCAGGCTTGACCATTTGTGAATTTAGTGGACTCTTCCATATCAATGGCCATAAATGGAATATCTTGATGCTTAGATAGAGCATCTTCAAGAATTGTCATTATTCCTTCATTGTTTTCTGTGACTAAATCGTCATGGGTTGGAATACCCATCAAGTAATTTTCACCAGAGTAACGAATTACTTGTCCTTTCATTTTATCTTTTTCAGCCTTTGGCTAAAAAAGGGCGGGGCCGTCCAAATTCTCTGAAAGCTCGGATTGGATCATGGTAGTATTGGACATTTTTTTGAAGAAATACTAAATCTGTATAGAAAAAGTTTAAAATAAAAATTAATTCCTGACTAAAAAGTAACTGACATCAATTTATAGCAAAAAAAGAAACCATCTTAAAAGATGGCATTTTATCATTGTGAATATATTCTTAGAAGCAGAGAAGTCTGTGGACGGAGTAGTTATAGGCCTGAAGGATGCGGTTATCACTAAAAATCCCCCCAACATGTACCATGTAAGGAGTGTGGTGAAATTACATCCTCCGCATATAGTATATGCAAAAAACATGCAGGAAAGTACCAAAATAGGAATACTATTATCGGCAAAAGCTTGCAAAAATCTAGAATAAATTCCACCAGCAAACCATCCCAGAAAACTCGTCCTAGTTTGCTAGGACAAGCTGAGACAGAAACCTAGACAGAAAAATATAGCTAAATGGTGATATTAAGCTAAATTAAAAGGAATTTGAATAGCCGTTCCAGTTGTCCCAGTTGTTCAAGTAAAATGTGAGATTCTTTATTATTTTTTATTTTTTTTACTTTTTTCCTATAAGCATACTAACATATATCATATACATAGTAGTATATATACTATAGATATATAGCATAGGATGAATTACGAATTTTTTTCTAGAATTCTTATTTTTACTAGGACAACTAGGACAACTAGGACATAGTGTAAAAGAACAAGTTAAATCAAAAAAAGAAGCTTTTCTTCTATATCAAATTCTGTCCCAGTTCTGTCCTAGTTGTTCTAATAACTGGGATGGAATTTACTACTATACATCGATTATATCCAACATGTATATCCTTGGATCAAAAATGCCCGATCCAGCCCTAAAAACCGGAGGGTTCATGCTTTAGCTAGAGTAAGCGCACCAACTCATTAAAAAAATTTGTCTTTATAAAAACTATCCCCGTACCTCATGAAAAATTTATAGGGATGGCAAAAAAACTTAACAAGGATGCCTCAAGATAGCAAACTGGTATTTTTAAAACTCTGGAAAGCCATCTTTATTACTGTCTCTATGACCCTATGAGTCTCTGTGAAAATTCGAACTTCTTTACTTTTTTTTTATTTTTTTTATAGTATACATCAACTATATATCAAACATATCTATAAGTATATACAGTTATCAAAGATAACATACCATAAAAATTAAATTTTTTTTTTTAGAACTTTTACATTTCATAGGGACTCATAGAGACATAGGGACAAGTAATAAAGAATAGATTAAATCAAACTAGGAATCCCAAAATCGATATCGAGGTTGTCCCTAAGGACGTCCTTATAAATTTTTTCTTATAGGAACACATAGGGATAGCTAGTATTGTCGCATTATATCTCTAATTGACTAACCAAAGAAAGATACCAGGAACTGAAGGTGCAGTAAATTAACAATAATATCAGCCCATAATTTCAGCCTGATCTTTGGACACAACAACTCGGCAACCAAGAAGTGATCTAAAACTGGCGAACTAATAGAGCCTTTCTGGTTCTCTACTAGTCTGCTGCCAGTATCATGATAGTTCTAGACACTATAGGGTTACTACTATGGTGCCAAGTTAAATCCTCAAAATACGTGTTCTAAAGATTAGCCAGAATTATGCTATAGTGCCGGGCAAATTTAAACACAAATTTACTGCGCTACCTGACACAATATTTTTTTTACTACATTTTGATATTTTGACAAGCAACCGAATAGGCGCAAAAAGGTAAGCACCTCAATATAGAATCTGGCCAAGATGGTATCTAAGATGGTCTCCAAACAGGCCAAGAAAGGTAGAATTGCGCATCTTCTCACCTAATTAGTCAAGCAACCTGAAAAAGAGAAACTATGTAACCGGCCACATACCTGAGGACGGTATCACAGATAATAATCTAGTTGGGATGGATATAATCTTTTTAAAAATTCTAGACTATATCATCCTAACTAGATAACAATATAATCATAACTAGGTTACAGTATCATAACCAGGTTACAGTATAGTCTTAAGTAGGTAACAATCTAATGTAAGTAGGTTGCAATATATATATATTGCAACCTACTTCAGTCATTATAATAATATGATAGTTTTCTTCATTACAATGTTCTAACTAGTTTTGTAGCTTTGTATCATTGTTTAGGCCCTAGACGTTATAGTTTGCAATTGTAAGACTTGCTATTTGTGTTGTGGTGTCTTGATTTAGAAAAGTATTTGTATTGTTTTTGTTAGTTGTGTTAGACAGTAAGTTATTTTTTAGTATAGTTATATTGTTTATAATAGACTTTGTTGTGAGTATATGCTTGTCTTCTCTTTGTTGATTAGGTTGTTATGTGTTGTGTGAGTTACATATAGATTTGGGGTATGTAGTTGTCAAAGATGTCCCAGTTTGGTTTAGGTAGACCTGGGAGTTCTAGTAGATATTCTGGAATTGCGTAGAGTGTAAAGTGAGATTTAATCCTTTCAATGATTTCTGTAGCTTTTGCTCTATCTTGAATAGGGATTAGTTTTTTTAGTTCAGGGTTAATTTGGTCTAATTGGGATTTAAGTTTATCGATATGTTGAAGAATTAGAGGCTTGTCATAGTGAGTTGGTTTGCTTGGAATTTCGATTCAGGATTTTGGTAGTTGTGAAAAATATTAGTATTTTCTTAGCTCTCTTGCTGTTTCTACAAGCAGTTTAGATAACCGGATTGGTATAGTTAGGTTAAGTTGACTAATCTTGAATATGTTATTAGATAGGTCTGGTTTATTTGTTAGATTAACTATCATGTACTCAGTTAGGAGTGAGATAGTAAATTTGTAGTGCTTTTCAACTTTAGCTAAAAAGCTTTTTGCAAGTAATTTGTTCTGTATTAGGAAGGTATAATTAATTTGAGTTTTAATCAAGATTGGATCTGCTGGGAGTTTAGGTTTTTGTATAATGTAGTTACTAAGCAGACACTTGAATTCATAGTAAGGTCTAAGAAGTTCTGCAAGACATTTGATTTCTTCTATATCTTTTGGTTTATAGGGGAAAAATTTTCTGAGGTTGTGAGAGAGTTGTTGAGGAGTTGCTAGAAGAGAGAGTTTAGGTACAGGTAGGTCGAAGTAGCTGTTTGGAATTTTCTCTACTTCATAAAGTGTTGCTAGCTTCTTTTTATATTGGAACAGGTGTGGAAATACAAAGCACTCTGTAATTAGAAAAAGGTCTTGAACTGAAAGGTGTAGTTTAGATGGGTCTATTGGAAGGACTATTAGCTGTTTTATGAAGAATGATTCAGGTAGGGTCTCAAATTTGTAGATCTTGCAGAGTGCTGTGGTAACTGCTTTGAACTAATTGCAGTTTTGGATTGATAAGTTAAAAAATAATATTGCTTTGATATTATCATGTATGTCTCTGATAGAGTCTAGAAGGAGTTGTAATCTGTCAGTTAGTATACCAAGGATTATTCATCAGATCTCTTCAAAGCCACTGGAGGCTTGATGCATGTAAAATTAATACAATAAAAGATTTTGCGAGTAATTTCGTGTGGATTTGTTTTGAGAAAATCAATGTTGGTAATATAGTTGATTGCAATCTTTGTTTTGAGTTTGTCTATAATTTGGTTTCTATTATTCTTGTTAATAAGGTGAGTTTGGTAGCGCCTCTTGTATTTTTCTAAGGCCAAATTGAATAATGCTTCAAATTCTCTTTGGTGTTGAGGTATAGCTTGCTTGTTTCTAGCGAATGATTTGAAAAAGGCAGTATTAAGATAGTTGAATTTTGCATTGATTGATGCAGGTAGATTATATAAGGTAGGCTGAGTAGTAGCTTTGTGTTAGAGAAAAGTAGTTAGTCTTGTACTGTCTTGTAGTGCTTCAAGTATTGCATCATTGTGCCATGTTATCTTGTCAAATGGCTGGTTTCTTTGTGTGATTGTATTTATAATTTGTCAATTCCATAATAGTGTAGGTTCGATTTGGGGGTTAGAATTATTTGAGGCCAGGGTGTTCTGTAATGCTTGGCTATATGAACAAAGTAGGATGGATGTACCTGGGAGTGTTGTTGGTTCAGTTGTTGTTGCTGAGGTTGTGGTGTTAGCTTGAATCAGATCTACATCTATTTGTGTAAATAGTAGGCCATTGTTGTTCTAATTTGTATTGGCTAATATAGATCTGTTTTGATTTGTTTGTAGGAATAATTCCATAGGGTTCAAGTTAGTAGAGTCAGGTCCATTTTGAATTGGGTTTGTTGTTTTGTTTAGCTGACTAATAAGGGCTGTGTTGGGGTCATGTGATTCCAGTTAATTTGTAGTTGGGATGAGCTAGAATGCCTATTTTTTGTTTAGATATATAGGTTGTATCGTAGGTTGAGTTGATGGGTTTTGTTGGTGTTGGTTTGTTTGATAGTAGGTGGTGGTGTTGGAGCTTCAGGTAGGTTTTCTGGATCAACAGTATCAGTGGGAGATATGAAGTTCCAAAAAGTGTGTCAGAAACTGATTGAAGAAGTGATTTGCATTGTGACATGGTGTTATAGACTCCAAAGGAGCTATTGTCACCAGGAGGTGTGTTTTTACTACTCAAACTTTTGTGTGCTATATTTGTAGTATTGTGATTATACTGTTGTAGCTTAGGCTTATACTTGAGTAACTTTATTTATTAATAGGATTATTTAATAGGCTTTGTTATCTATACTTTGTTTACTTTTTAGTTAATTTTAATTTTCTATGATTTTTAGGGGAATAGGAAAAAGTTTTTTAATCATTTTTTCATTTATCTACAGTATATTAATTTGGTTTGTTGAACTAAAATATATAGATAAATAATTTAATAAATTTTCAAGCCCAAAATATAAAATCTATAATTTTTTAATTTTTGGTCAATAAATTCTTGAGTATTATTTAAACCAAATATCCAAATTAAATTAGTAAATTTAAAAGAATTTATGATTTTAGTATTTTTTGAGTTGCCTGATAATTTT